GCCCCTACACCCCTCCCTATCTCCGTAACCTCCTCCAATCCCAGCCACTCATGCATCCCCCAAATCCCTATCTCTCTGCCTTTGGTGGTGGATGTCCATAGCACTAAGTTCAGAAATTCCCTCCTTAAACTCTACATCACTCGTCCATCTCATGTTTCGGTTTTCTCCTGAGCCATAGGCAGTGGATTCCGGTATCATCTCGAGAGTGTGTCAAATTTTGTTCGACAATGTTTTCTGTGGGCTATACCTGTTTGAATCAGAAACCCTCAATGTTTCGTATAAATTGAGGTGTTGCGGAATCTGATGAGTCAGGTAGCACCGTGTGGGCGCATATCAATATTATCTGAGAACTTTAAATTACAAAAAAAACTGCCCTCGCAGTGGAGTTCAGCTGACAAACAGAAATTTAGCAAAACCTGAAATGTCACTAAATGTGCCCCGTCATGAGATGTTTATGATTCCACTCTGAAATCCTGGGGTTGGTAGAACACGTAGCTGAGTAAGTATATTAACACAGCACTTAGCTTTGTAATTAGTCTACCAGGAACTGAGAGTTAGTTCTTAGAAATTTACAAAAACAGTCCTATTTCGGCTAGAACCCTCTCAACAGCTGAACCGACAAAGCAGAGTTAGGATCTGCACTTCTGTAGCACCTTCTTGTACCCCTCATGATGCCTCAATAGCCCCTCACAACTGGTGGGTTGCCTTTAAAAGAGTAGTGGTTTGGTAGCGAGGTGCTTTTAGGCCCGGTCAAGTTAGTACACAGCAAGATTCCTCAGAGTTCAAGACAGCACCCAGTCCTGGACTGCCCGGTTTATCTTCACTAAGAATATCACCCAGGGGTTAAATATCAGCCCCAGGACTGACAGAGAGAACTTCCCCACCACCATACCCCCCATCCACCTCTGCTAACCTCCAGTGTTGTCCTTCCAAATAACAGCCAAAGGGATTTTTCAATGACATTTATCCAATACCCACAGCTCCAGACTGTATCCCGCTTGTGGAAGTCTAGTTTGCCTCAGTAACCCATAGTCTGAGGGTCAGAGAGTCACACGCAGCTCAGAAACAGACCCTTTGGCCCAAATCGTCCATGCTGACCGGACTTAATAGTCCCATTTGCCAGCATTTTGTCCATATCCCTCGAAACCCTTCCTATCCATGTACCCATCCAGATGCCTTTTAAATGTTGTAATTGTACCAGCCCCCACCACTTCCTCTGGCAGCTCGTTCCATACACACACCACCCTGTGCGTGTTATCCCTTATGTCCCTTTTAAACCTTTCCTCTTTCACCTTAAAAACATATGCCCCCTAGCTCTGGACTCCCTACCCTGGGGAAAAAACCTTGACTATTCACCCGTGTATGCCCTCATGATTTTATAAACCTCCATAAGGTTACCTCTCAAACACCCACACTCCAGGGAAGATAGCCCCATCCTATCTCAAACGCTCCAGCCCCAGAAACATCCTGGTAAATCTCTTCTGAACCCTGTCCCCAGTTTAATAATATCCATCCTATAACGGGGTAACCAGAACTGGATACAGTACTCCAAAAGTGGCCTCACCAACGTCCTATACAACCTCAATATGATGTTCCAACTCCCATACTCAAAAGGTCTGAGCAATGAAGGCAAGTGTGCTAAATGCTTTCTTAACAGTGAGATAGTAGGAACTGCAGATGCTGGAGTCTGGGGTAACACAGCGTGGAGCTGGAGGGACACAGCGGGCCAGGCAGCATCAGAGGAGCAGGAAAGTCCACGTTTTGGGTCAGGACCCATCTTCAGAAATGGGGAGTGGGAAGGGAGATCTGAAATAAATAGGGGTGGGGCTGGGGGAAGGTGGGTGGGATAGTGATAGGTGAGTGCAGGTAGGGAGTGGTGGGGATTGATCAGTGAGGTGGGAGGGGCAGCTAGGTGGGAGAGAAGATGAACAGGATGGACCCGAAATGTCAGCTTTCCTGCTCCTCTGATGCTGCCTGGCCCGCTGTGTTCCTCCAGCTCCACACTGTGTTATCACTTTCTTAACTGCCCTGTCTATATGGGACGCAAACTTCAAAGGGATTATGTGCCTGGACTCTTTGGTCTGTTTAAAAACACTGCCTCGGGTCCCACCATGAACTTTATAAGTCCTACCCTTGTTCGTCTTACCAAAAGGCAACAGCTCACAGAGCAGAGATAGTAGAAACTGCAGATGCTGGAGAATCTGAGATAACAAGGTGTAGAACTGGATGAACACAGCAGGCCAAGCAGCATCAGAGGAGCAGGAAAGCTGACGTTTCCAGCCTAGACCCTTCATCAGAAATGGGGGAGGGGAAGGGGATTCTGAAATAAATAGGGAGAGAGGGGGAGGCGGAAAGAAGATGGATAAAGGAGAAGATAGGTGGAGAGGAGACAGACAGGTCAAAGAGCGACCTGACGTCTTTGGGTCTAGGCCCAAAACGTCAGCCTTCCTGCTCCTCTGATGCTGCTTGGCCTGCTGTGTTCATCCAGCTCTACACCTTGTTATCTCAGATTCTCCAGCATCTGCAGTTCCTACTATCTTAGCTCACGGAGCAATTTGGTTCTTCTGGAATGTGCCAGATCAACCACTGACATGGAGTTTTCCAGACTCAATAGTGACCTTCAACCAGTTAGCAGAAAGTGGGTGTGTGTGATAATTCTGTTCTTTGCCATTCACACCTTTTCTAACCACATCTCCTGTTGCTCTTATGCCCCGTCACCATCTCTTGCATCTTCACCGCAGCTGTTTCTTTTAATCTGTCTCCTGGATCTCCACACTCATCGCCAACCTTCCTCCCTGCTGTTTCCTCCTCTCTTACCCTTTCGCCAACCATGCGCTTTGTTTAAGAAACAAAAACACCGCAACTGAATTTTTGCTGCAGTGCCAACCCAGTCAATCTATTTTCTGCCTCTTCCCCTGAAGTGCAGTGTTTGTAACAAGTTCAATTGCAATAAAGAGATTACTTCCTCAATCTGCAAAAAGGTCACGTATGCCTCCTGTTTGACCATAACTTGGCCAAACTCTGACCACAAACTTCAAGGTGAAATAAACTGACCTTTGAAGATGCATTGCAGATAAACGCACCACAGGAAACTCTGAGAGCCCAGGAGGTGGATTTTCAGAAGACCATTTTCTGACTGCTAGCTGGGAGGATGCATCTGCACTGTGGATTCACACTCCCCACTCCTCAAACAGCTCAAATTTAACTCAGCGACACAGTATTTCTTCACTCTGTACAGAACATGCTGTTCAATAAAGGACAGCTGTCCTGCCATTTATAGAAATCCAAGGGATTAGAATGACTCAGTACCGTCCCTCCACACTCACTGTCACAATCGTTCAAAAAGAGATACACTCACTCAAACACACACACATACACACACACAAGATTGTTTAACACTCGCTATCTCTGTAACCTCCTCCACGCCTACAACCCCTTCCTATCTCTGTAACTTCCTCCAGCCCCTACACCCCTTCACTATCTCT